GTCCTCTGGGTTTTTGGCTCAATATGGGGGGAGGTTCAGTTTTTATCCAGTAAGCCTGGCTCCAGGGAGGAGACCAGTTTAAAGTCCTGCTTCAAGTTCCGGTTCTATGTCCTGTCTCGGCTACCCTCTTCCACTGAGCCTGCCTGTCTGCACCTGATCCTGTCTGCTCCTGTGCGTGACCACCTGGTCATGCTTCTGGTCCCAGTCAGACTCTGAACCCTCCTGGGAGCCTGTGGATGCCTGGAAGTCTGGATCCTGCCACCTGTTTCTGTTCCTGCTTGATCTGGATTCTGCCTGTTCTGTCTGTTCCTGTCTGTTCTGGATCCCTGACCAGGATCGGCTTCCAGCATCCCCTCTGGGACTGCAGCACTTGGGGACATTCTTGGTCTGGACAGTTAAACCAGGTAAGTAACCAACTCAGATAATCTTCTGTCAGATGATCGTGGTCACTTACCTGTGTTTCTCCCACTACAGAGTGTCTGAGATTGGGTGGTGCCCCACTCCCCATCCTGCAGTGTCCGCAAGCCACAGCTCAGCTTTTGTTTTGTTTATTTAATAAATGTTTTGAACTTTCCTACTGACTGTCTCTCCTTGAATACTGGGTCCATCGGTCTTCGTTTCATGACATTAAATTTTCCAGGAAAACAGTTTATAGCCTACATTTAGTACCGATATCGGTCTGTAGTTGTGGTTGTATTCTTGGTCTTTACCTTGCTTTAGGATTACGGAAATAATGGCTTCCTTCCAAGAAGGAAGCATCTTGCCGGTCCTGAGACTATAGTTAAACGAGTCATATAGCAGTGGTGTTAATTCTTCTTTGAAGGTTTTATAAAAAAAAGCCCTTAAACCATCTGACCCTGGTGACTTTCTTATTTTAGACCTGCCAATTGCCTTTGTAATCTCTTCCTCTGTAATTTGAGAAGTCAGTGTTGCATTTTGTTTTGTGCCTATTGCTGGTAAATCCAGTTTTTCCAGAAAATTACTCACCTCCTCTTCCCCAGCCGATGGTGGTTGTGCAGATAGATTTTTGTAGTATTGCTCAAATGTTCTTTGTATTTCTTCTTGTTCATATAAAATTGTATTAGATAGTGGATCTCTTATTTTATGTATGCTACCTAATGTTTGTTGTTTAGTAATGCACCTAGCCAAATTTTTGGTGGCTTTCGGTCCCCCCTCATACGTTTGCTTAGTAAATCTAGCCTTCTTTTCTACCTCCTCCCATAAACTCTCATCCATTTCTTTCCTGGTTTCTTTAATCAGATTAAATACGTCTGGGTCATTTGTTTGTTTATATTGTTGTTCTAAATCTCTTAGCTTCCTTATTTGTTTATGTATGTTTCTAATCTTGCTTTTTTCATAAATGCTGTGTAAGAAATAATTTTCAACCGTATTACCGCCTTCAGGGCATCCCAAAGAATTACTGGGTTTACTTCACCATTATCATTTTCCTCTTTATATCGGGTTATCTCCTCTTTTACTTCACCAACTAGAGCCTTGTTATTTAATATTCCTTCATTTAGTCTCCATAAAGTATTGTTTTTTTTTTGCTTTCCAGATGGATCTCAAGATAGATTGCGTTATGATCAGAAACATCTGAAACTCCAATCCTACAGTCTCTGTGTAGTTCTCTCTTATTCATTAGTATATAGTCAATTCTGGAATAAGTACCATGTGGTATTGAATAATGAGTATAATCACGATCTAAGGGGTGAAATTCTCTCCACACATCTACAATTGGCATTTCTGACATCATAGTGTTCATGTACCTACTGATTTGTTTTTTTTACTATTTTTATTGCTTGTAGTATCCATCTTATAATTTAACACAGCATTAAAATCCCTGCTACATATCAATGTTCCCTCTGCTTCCAAGATAATGAGATCAAATATTTTCTTAAAAAGTGCTTTGCCACTTTCTGGGGGGGCATATACATTGAGTAGTGTGATTAACTGGTTTTCCAATTTGCCCTTTATTATTAAATATCTTCCTTCTTTATCCCCAATTTCCTGCAACAATTCAAACTTTACACTATTTGAGATCAATGTCATAACTCCTCATTTATGCCTTTCTCCAAATGAGGAGGAAAAGGAGTTTCCATACCCTAATTTTTTGTACTTTCCATGCCCTTTTCTTGTTAGGTGTGTCTCCTGTAAGAGAATAACTTGTACTTTTTCTTTTCTAAATTTATTTAGGACCTTATCTCTCTTTTTGATATTATTTAAACCATTGACATTCAGTGATACCACAGTTATAACCTTAGACATTGTTTGTAAATCTTGGTTTGAATCACAGCCTCTCCACTTGACTATGAACAAGAACTAAACTAACAAAAAATCTGAACTCCAGACTACCTCAAAAGGCTTTTTTTAAAGGGCAATTAGAAAGAGCATTCCTTATTTAATCCTTTGTCAACATTATTTTTTCTTTCTTCCATTTTGATCTTGATATTTTCTTCTTTCATTATTCTAAACTTGATAATACATTTTCACTGTTCATGAGACAACAGTATTAAACGATTTATGGATTTGATGCTGATTTTTGTGATGAGCAGAGCAGCATTGGGACGTTTTCATGCTTTGTTGCATGGCTGTGACTTCTGGAGATGCTCTTGGTGGCTCTATGACCATTGACATTAGCGCAGGGATATTTTGTGCTGCGAAAACAAACTGCAGAAAACTCATAATGAGGTTGTGAGTTTGTGGTTGAAAATTTAAAATGTTTTAAATGTCACTGAGCTTGAGCTTTTTAGTAATAAACAATTAGCAAAAAACTTTAACTTTGCAAAGAATTGTTGAGAAATGACATTAAAATACATGTAACTGTGATTGAGGTGAAAGGTGTGTCTACACATATGGAGTCATAAGAGCAGAATATAAATGCATGCCACACCTTTCAGATCTTAGCAATGACTTAGAACAATTCTCTTATCCTTTTACATCAACATTTTTGTATTATTTTGTGTTGGCCTATAGCATAAACATTTCTGAAACTTTATTGGTTATAATGTGATTTTTAAAAAAAGAAGGTGCATAAATACTTTGGGGATTTTCAGATATTTTCACTGGAAGAGAAGTCAAAGTTAGGTAGACAAGGCTGATGTGGAGAGACAATGTGCTGAGGTGGAATACTAGATATAGGTTGGATAGAGGATGTGAACTCTAGTTTTGCCAGAGAGAAGTAGGAAAAGCACTCACAAATGGAATAAAGACAGAGTGGTGCGACAGAGAAAGATGCTGGGGATTTGGTGAAAAGAAAGCAACAGTGACCCCTAAAGGAAGCAGACAGTATGGGTCATTGTTGCTATTTATTTGTGCACATATCTACAATAATGAAAACTGTATTTCATGAGTAGGATGTGCAGGTCACACTCCAGATGGTTTCATAAAAAGAATAATCTGTTTTGTCATTCCTTTTAAACCATTATGTTCGATCCAAAATGTTTTACATAATACTTAATTGATCTTCTCATGTCAAGCACTACAATCAATCAGTCAAAATCTCCCGAAGGTTTGTGTATTTCCATGTGAGAGTTGAACAAGCGGCAGACATCAAAGGTGGACCAGAATCTGTCAACTTGTAGAGTGACTTTTGATGAGAATCTACAGTACAACTTGAGTACTCTATTAACGTCAGTAAAAGAATAATGTTGTTAGCAGGAAGCACTTCAAATAGTCGGTGTATTTTAACCACACCTTTCCAAGTATGATAAACATTTGCTCAAAGTAATGTCGTGCAGTATGACAGTTAGCACCATGGCTGTGTTTGTTTAGTGGGTATGTAAAAATAAATTCCTTTCCAGATAGCACAGATACCACAGATAGAACTAAAGACTGTTTACAATTCAGCGCAAGAAATAAATAAACAAAAACAGTATCAAGGCTGGTTTTTTTGCAGCCCTCCAATTATTACATTTAAAATATAGAAGCAAATAAATACATATAGGGCTATTGTTTGGTAAAATTTTGTCATTTCAAATTTTTACCTAAAATGCAATAGAATTTTTTTTAAACAAAAACTGGAGCTTATCTGAACAAGTCTTGAATAAATATTAAAAACCTGACAAATCAGGTGTGTTTGGCTCTTCACAGCCACTATTGAGCATTTTTCCTTTGGATAAACATTACATGCACAAGTGCACTCTCACAAACAATTACAGGTGCTTGGCTGCCAGGTACTCAGATTCACTTCCATACAGAAAGCCCATATAGATTGAATAAAACTGCTTATACTTCAGAGACAGTATCAAGATGCCTCTTTACTGTATTTCTTATACTATACCCGTTGATTGTGATGTTCTTTTTACATCTCTTTGCAGGTGATGTTTTATCGTTGTCTCCCTTTTATCTCCTCTTTCTTTCATCTATTCTCCTTTTTCCTGTTTTTCCTTTCTTGTTCTAATTACATTGCAGCGTCCAGATAATCTGTAATATTTCCTGCATAATTATAATAAAGCTATTTACATGCATAAATCAGGTGGAACACTATGGCAATAGCCATACTGATCAACTTGTGAGAGCAAAATCTGTTGGGCACTTTTTTGGTATCAAGACAACTATTCTTATTGCCACATTGCAAGACAGGACACTGTAAAAAAAAAAAAAAAAAAAAAAAAGACTGAATAGGGACGGAATAGCAGTGGTATCAATTAATGGGAAACAACTCACATCTCTCTCATAGCATTTTCTCTACCATAGTTTGAGCTTTTCAGTGAATTCTTTAATTTGTTCATAGATTTTCATTGTAAGGCTGAGCTCATTCAGTTTGACAAATATATCAGTGAGATGTGACAGCCGTGTCAAACACTGGGCAAACACCACAGCAAGAGGATGCAGATGTTCCTTCAATAACACAAATGTATCACTGTGTATTTAATAGAGTCTCAGTAGTATTTTCCCATGTGAAAAGCAGCGCACATCAGTGTGAAGCATCAGCTGCTCGTGATCTGCGGCGCTCCCATGACTAAGAGTTTCACACAGTCTGTTATTCCATGGGTCGAACCATGAGGTTGGTTGAAGCTTCTTTTTTTTTTTTTTTTTATCTTCACAGCATCCAAAACAGCACTTAAGTCAGGACTAACCCTCTTTCTAGCCAGTGCTTCTGGATGAATAAGGCAATGCATTCATTTAATGTCCCGATTGACCTTTTTTATGTGTCCAAACAGTCCCTTCAGCTTTCCTGTCATCACAGCCGCACCATCAGTGCAGATGTGGCTGCAGGTTTTCCACTGAAGATCATGTTCTTTGAAAAAGCTATCTATAACCTGGAAAATATTTTCTCCTGTTGTCTTTCCTGGCAGTCTTTTAAAAAAATAAAACATGCTTGTTTATTACAATAAATCTTTGTAATGAAGAAAGCCCAGGCAGTGAGGATCACCACTCAAATCCGTCATCTCATCCAGCTGCAAAGGGAACTGCCCAGCTTGTTCTATTTTGTTCAGCACTTGTTCAAAGATATTAACCAATATATCACTGATCCGACGGGACATGGTGTTGTCCGACATTGGAACTTTTTGACTGTGTCAGCTTTTTTTTTGTCCATCATAATTTCAGCAATAACAGTCGCTGTCGTTAAAAGCAGCTCTTCAACAATAGAGTAAAGGCTTTTTTTATTTTGCCAGAGGTAGGGATACAGCGTGAGAAACCTCCAGTGCTTTGCTTGAGACAGTCATGGCTTTCATTATTATTGTTAAGTACTGACTTAATTCTGAAAGCTTTTGTTTGTAAAAAGTCTCTGTTTTAGCAGATGCAGCACCTTACAGCAAAGTATATTGTCTAAGATCAGACAATAGGACAGAGTTTGTGTCAGAGGAGTACCAGTGACTATTGAGAGACAATGCTTTAAAGCATGAAAGGTCAGAGCACTATTCTCCCCATCCTTAAAAGCCCCTGTACCAGTGGCGGCCGGCCCATAGGGGGCGCTGGGGCACCGCCCTCCCTAATAAGAAGAGAGAAACGTAAAATATATTTTTAGAAATTAACTCATAAATGTCAGTTTTACTCTCTAAAGTGTGTACCTATAAGCAAAACAAATTATATAAACTACATTTCCCTATCTACTGTCATTAATTTGTGGATTTCCACAGACAGACTCCTACAGTCTCTGTCTTGGGGCTGTGATCAGACTGCGCCACATTTGCAGAGAATCTGTCAATCATGTACTATTACTAGGTGAATTTAATGGCCAATCAGCGTCTCAGAATTTTATGGTCTTGGGGCTCTGAAAATACTGCACTTTAACAGGCTTCTGCACCCAAGCACAGGTGCAGACAATTAGAGGGAAGATGGCGAATGTAACGAACGAGATGCAGCTTCCACCAAATTCGCTGAGATCCTTATTTATCTACCCGTTTGCCAGAAGAACATCCCTGTTGTAGGGTAGGAAAATTTCATGTCATGGTTATTGTGACTGTGACGAATCCACCTCGTCGCTTAAAACATCCTCTAACTTTGCGTGCCACACACACATTCCTGTTATACTGTGCTTGTGAGGACCAATACACTCGCGCTGAGACCAGTAGCTCCATGAACTTAAAACACACAAGCCGTTCCTGGTTACCTGCTGGCGTATTGAGGGTGCACACTTAATATTTCAGTGGGGGTAGCCGTGTGTGTGGGTGTGTGTGTGTGTGTGTGTGGGGGGGGGGGGGGATGTGTGTACGTGTTTATGCATGCTACGGGGACTTGTCATCTTCAGTCTGGCTGCGTCTTTGCTGGGTTCAAACCCAGTTTGGTGTAATTGAATAAGTCAATGAATCTGTGTAAAAGAAAAAAAATTTTTTTGTTTTTGTACATCAATTGTTTGTGGAGGTAATATATGGACAAAACTGATTAATGAGAAGAAATCAGAAATAAGAGAGCCTGAGGTGAGGGGCTTAAACTATTTAATGAGGGCTGTGGGAAGAAAAGCGGCCATTTTTGTTTTCTGTTTCTTTGTTACATTGCTGGTAACTGGAGGGAGGCTGAGGCCCAGAGTATCTTGTACATGTTTAGTTTCTTTTTTGAGTTTTGAGTTTTTGAGCACAATAAATCACCAACACCGGTAACCCGACTGAGCCTGGATTCTTGGAGGCCAAAGAACCCCGTCACAGTGACCCAAATCATCACTGTTACTGTTATTATACAGTAAATTAAATCATTACTGTTAAATTGTATGTATTGTCCAATTGTTTATTAGAATTCTTATTCCGGATTAGTTGGAGACATACACTAGGCTATATCAGCCCCACCAAAAATATTTTTCACCAGCCGCCACTGCCCTGTACCAGATGAGATTCCACCAAGGTTGTAAAGGAACTTTACTGATGAGCTCTACGACGTCCTCAGCTACATCTACAACCTGAGCCTCTGCCTGGGGGTGTTTCCCTCTCTGTGGAAGACCTCCTGTGTGGTACAGGTTCCCAAAATGCCACACGCCAAGGAAACAGCCCACTTTAGACCAGTAACCCTGGCCTCCCATCTGATGAAGACCATGAAGAGCCTCATCCTTGCCCACCTGCGCATCTCGGAGTGCCCCACCCTCTGCAACCAGACTCTACAATGTAACACTACAACGGCAATAACTTGTGAAATGTATAATGTGCAATTTAGCAGTTGATACCCTGTGCAATAACAGCTTCTCTATATTTGACCCCCAGGGCAATAACAACAAATATAAATATCCATTCACATAAATTCCTGTGTAAACACCCTGTGCAATAACCTGGTATAATGATCCTTCTATAAAAATAAAAAAAGCAGTCATATGTGGATGCACTGTATATACTGTATATATCCCATGAACATTCTTCTTCTTTGCACATTCTTCTTTTTTGACTATTTGAGCTGATGTAACAAGTACATTTCTCCATTGTGAGATCAATAAAGTTAATCAATCAAAATGGGACTGCAGAGTGGAAATGGTGCACCCTTTTTAAAATGGTCCAATGTCTGCTGATTTAGCATACATTGCAGCCCGGACAGCTGCAATTATGAGAAAAGGATATTACTGTAAGACAACAGGGGGAAACCCATATTTCCTCTTCAGGAAAGAGACTGGATCTATCCAAAATGAAAAAGTTTGGTTCTGAATGTATGGTTTATGAACAAAACAAAAAGAAGCTTCCTCCCAAAGGCAAGAAAGGATTTCTTTGTTGATTTTTTTTATTGTCACCTGCTTGTATGGTTTATTTTCTAGATACAAACAAGGTTCAGAAACATAGACTGGTCCACTTCATTGAAAAAGAATCATCCACAGACTGACGGGGACCAACCAGATGACCACTACATAGAATGGGTAACTACAACAAGTCAAACTAGTCAGTCACCAACAGAAGAAATAGAAAAGACAGTCAAAGACATAAGGAGAGACTCAGAGCTACAGGTAGAGTCAGAAAGAAACCCAAACCCTTGGAGGACTATGAATGTATAGAGCAGAGTGGTGAGTTAACAACTGACTACTGTTACAGAGGTACAGTTGAGCTATCACACATTTAGGCTATGGCATTGTCAAAACACAACAGGTTTGGCTAGATAATTCTCACACTTGGCTCAAGTTATCTGGCACTGATGTCTGGAAACAGCCAGCATAAATAGGAGATGGAAAAGGTGGATCAAATGAGGGCAGATGAAAACTGGACGGAGCTAATCAGGTGAAAGGAATGAACTAATAACCCAGACATGCCAAGATCATGACAACTGTTACTTCTAGTATTTATTATATAGACTGTGATACAAATACTACTACAACTGCAACTAGCACAGATAAGTTTTTAGCACTGGTTTGTTAATACTACTATGATCACTTCAACTAATATCCACAAAAACTATTCCTATTGCTTTATATTATCATATTTTATTGTTTTCACTATTGTTGTCAGTGATGGGCAGTAGCGCCGCTACATGTAGCGAAGCTATTAGTTTAACTACATGTTCCAGTAGCTTGACCGTAGCGTTGCTGCTTTATTTATCAAGTAACTTTCCTGTAGTGACGTTACTGCTTCGATCAAGTAGCGACGTAGCGTCCACAAACGCTACAAAATCCAGGGCATAACTAAGAAATGAAACCAGGTTTTCTATTTTGAAACAACAATCAGAGTTATTTGTTGGACATTCACGCATGAGCCTCTATTCTGCCTCTCCTGTGTGTATCTACCGAAACATGCGCACTGTAGTGGAATTCAATGAATGACACACACAGACACACGCACACACACAGAGCCACACACACAGGATGGAGGAGGAGACAGTAGCAGAGCAAGAAGAGCAGCCAACTGTCCCTACCTTATCTTCAGAGATTATTGTCGAATCCTCAGATTAAAAAATAAGTGTGCAGATGTCTGCTTTGCAATAACAAAAAAAAAAAAAAAACTGTTGTCAACGTCCAGGAAATCCAACACCAACTCGAGAACTCACATTCAGGTGAATCACTAATTTCCCTCCTGCAGTATGCAAGTAAAAATATTTAGCGTCAGTGTAAATCCCAACTCACTTTAGCCAAATGCTGTTTGTAAATTAGTAAAACGAAAGCTACCCACCTACCAACAAGCAGTGTGTGATGGAAAGGGACTAGCCAAGTGGCTAAGCAGAAGTGTTTAAAAAAAAAAAAAAAAAAAAAAAAAGCATGAGTGATTTTTTAAGGTTCTTGGCCATAGAGAGCTCATGTGGCCAAGGTTAGCCATTTGTTTTACATAGCCAAACACTAATTAAAACAGTCAACTACAGTATATTTTTTTAAATAAAAATGTAAAAAATATATTAACTTTAACTTTATTGGCACCTTTAATTTCCAGATAGTTCAATTGATGTGTGCCACTAAGATACTCTAATTAGAGAACAGAAGTGAAACTTCAATATTGTATTTTCATGGCCTAGTTTACCTGACAGGATGTTTACATAAATCTGTTTTTAGGCTTTGCACAAGCATAAGCATTCAATTAATTGCCCCCAAAAATACAATGAATAAATATGTAGGTAGAAATTAAATTATACGGTGAGACATAAATATATGTATTACTTAATTAGCTTCTTTATTTTTTTCACCTTCTTTTGTAAACAGTTTCATTTGTTACTTGAATCGACTTTTTAATTGAGGTCTGAAGAAGTTTTCTCTAAGGGAGACCCTAAAGAAATAAGATGCCTTTTGTAGGGTTTTGTTTTCCCTAGAGATGTCCATTGAATGCAAACTCATAGCCATGTCTCGATGTGTAGAACACTACACAGTACCTTTAATTTGGTTCTAATAACATCAGATTGTTTACTAGTTTGTCTACTAGTAATTACTTTAGTTTTTTTATTATGCTGATCATAAGGCAATGTTTACACTGTGTTATGTCATTGGCTGATCTTTCATAAATGTTTTAACAAATGTGTCAGACCAATTTTGAATTGACATTAGCTTGGTACAAAGTTTAGGAGCTTCTGATGTATTTAAGCTACAGTTAACACAGTGTAACTTAGCTTGCGATAATTCTTTAGGTGGTAGCTTTTGTGTAGTGAAGCTTAATTTATTGTTGAGTAACTGATAGCTTAGCTCACTACACTGGACAAGTAACTTGCCCAACACTGATTGTTGTGCTATTATTATGCACAGACTCATCCTAAGAAAAATTTGTCAGGATCAAATAGACTGATATCAAACATTACAATAAAGGGAACTTTCCTGTCACCAAATACATCAGTTACTACTTTTAATCAGAAGTCTTCTGCAGTCTCCTCAATAAGTGACCATTGTGAATTCAGTTACAGACAGATTGTGACATTTATCTCCATAAAAAGCAGAAACATAAAAAAGAGCATTAATTGAAAGAGAGAATAAGCCAATATATTTTATATTGGCTAAAGTTTATAGATTATATATGACCACCAACTGGTCTTTCTTTTAATCATTCTTTTTCAACAGAGATGAATGTATAGGGTATTAACAAGAATAAATGATAAGTTTAGACAGAGACTGGAAATAGAGATTCCCATCTAATGAGTGGAAACTTAGTTGTTTGTGTCACAAAGTTTTATTTCAGCATCATACCTAACTTTAAGGGAAGCACGAGTTTCCTCGTCACCTTATTTTTTCTCTTGCTCGCACCATTCATGATTTGGTTAAGAGAACATGTTGATATTTCATCTTCTGTAGGTCTGCAAAAATTGCCTGTCTGCACGCACACACACCATCGGATTGTTTTAGATGTGGAGTGCTGACAAAATATTGCACAGTCAGATTACAGGTGGTCTCTTTTCTGTATTCCACCTCATGCTATAGAACATATGTGCAATGGTGCGCATGTATATGCTCTACCATGCACAAACTGTGGCCAAAACTGTCCACTGGAAACAATGGTCATCAGTACCAAAGTAGGTCAGAAAAAACAAACTAAAATCATTCCTACCGCTGTGCAGCGGAGGTTGGGTAGCTTGAAATCCAGCTATCAGATGGATTACAACGTAAAAGGGAACATGGGAGAGAAGAACCTGACTGGGAAATAAAGTTATCTTGAAGTATGCAAAGATGCTTAAAGGAATAGTACACCCAAAACATGATTAGCCTTCATTTTCTACTCACCCCCATGCTGAACAACACTCTGGAGTACTTTTTTGATATCTCAAATACATCTGGAGATCTGGGAGGCTTCTTGCTGTCTGCTGACATTCAAATAATGGAGGTCTATGGTGCCCGAGGCAGAAAGGTCCATAAAAGTCCACAACAAACGGAAACCGCGGCAGACCAAACCAGACGAAAGTGCGCATTCAGCTCGGCAAATAACTCATGCTCTTCCTCAACACTTGAAGTCCTCAGACATTTTTCTTTCGTTGTTTTTTTCTTTGCACAGGTAAACAGCACATTTCTTCTTCTACGCTTGCATTATCGGCAGAGCAGACGCTGAATGCGCACTTTCGTCTGGTTTGGTCTGCCGCGGTTTCCGTAGACTTGTGAACGCGCTTTTAGGAAATCCTATACACTACTGTTTATGCTCTAAAAACATTCTAAATGACTTCGTTTCGAGTAAATTATGGACGCTACCCACTCAGGACACTTGGAATACATTGGACGAGCAGTATGGAGGAATATTGACACGTTTTTTGTGGACTTTTATGGACCTTTCTGCCTCGGGCACAATAGACCTCCATTATTTGAATGTCAGCAGACAGCAAGAAGCCTCCCAGATCTCCAGATGCATTTGAGATATCAAAAAAGTACTCCAGAGTGTTGTTCAGCATGGGGGTGAGTAGAAAATGAAGGCTAATCATGTTTTGGGTGTACTATTCCTTTAAGGTATTTTATACTGTTTTGTTAGAATTATTATTTTTAATGATGTGTGAGTCTATTATACCCTAATATTACCTCCCTGTTGTGTTTCAAAACTAACATTTTCCCAAGTAGTTTATCTAATTATGACAGTTACTTTGTCCGGCTATAGAGTAATCATCTTCATGTACTGTATATATAATCCATATCCTAACTTTCCTGTATAATCTGTATATAGCTTCCATATCTATTTATTTTATAGCCTCTTACAATTACTCTCTGTTTGTATATACCATTTATAGGACATACATACATACTTTCTGTATAGATAAATAAATAGTTGTATCCTATATAGCACGTCTGTATATTTGCAAACTACATTTTGTTGCTTTGTACTTGTGAATGTGTAATGACAATAAAGTTAAATTCTATTCTATTCTAAAGACACAATTTCTGAAGCAATTTCTGTGACATACTCAAGAACAGGTTTTCATGGTCTTGTTTATATTTCTGACCCACGTGCAAAAAAAACAGACCAATTCATCAGATTAATAAAGTTTATCTTCAAACAAGTATCTGAATTAGTGCAGAATTGTGGGAGAACAGGAACTTTTAAGAGGGAGGACTTTCACGAGAGAGGTGAGTAAAATGGCTTGATAATCATACAGAAAGACTGTCAGAGGAATTACTTGAATGAACATGCAAAAAAGAACAGGGGAACAGAAGGTTTTTCAGAGGCTCAGGGAGGGTCAAACCTTACCATAAGAGAAAACACGCCACAGAAGAATGACAACTGCATCTCTCCTCTACTGCTCAGGTGATGAGGCTAATGAGTGGATACTTACCTGCAGCAAATAGGTCCAGCCCAGCCACACCTTTTAAGTGCTCTCTGGTGGTAAGTCTGAAAAGGATCAACAACAAACCTACCCAATCTGTGACACAGATTAGATGGATTGGCACATTTCCCCCAACTGATTCAAATGTTAGCCCTTTTTAAGTGTATGCCTAATTTTTCACTATGAACCTAGTCAACGTTCATGGCTATTCGTCATTATTCCCCCGCAATGTTAAATGAGAAGCCCCATCGATGTTCTCCCGCTTATTCTGTTAGAGTCGTGGTGGGGTCAATGTCTTTCTCCGGCAGTCTGCTGGCGTAAGGCGGAGTACAACCTGGACAGGTTGCCAGTCTGTCGCAGGGCTACAAAAAGATCCACACAGACATGTAACAATGCACACACACACCTAAAGACAATTTAGAGATGTCAATAAACCTAATGTTTGTATTTGGAATACCCACAGAGAACCCATTTATGCACGGAAAGAACATGCACACTCCATGTAGAAAGACCCTGGGCTGGGAATTGAACCCGGAAACTTCTTGCTGCAAGGTAACAGTGCTGCCATCTGCATCATCCTGCAGCCAAATGGCAAGCCTCTCAACGTTGATCTCTGAAACCAATTCTTTGCCTTAATTAAATAAATGTCCTTTAGTCATCTTTCAGAGTCAGCTGTAGAGAATGATTATTTACTGTGTGATCAGTTCTGCTGTAAAGGAACCAGGAAACACTCAGTGGCGTCTGACTGCCAACAGGTGCGGTCTCTTTACACAATGGTACCCAAATGTTTGTTGTGGACCTAATAAATATGTTGCTATTCTTAAATCAGTTGTGTATTTTTAAGTAGAAATTTCCTCTGAAACCCTTGGGACTTACCAGGTTAAATATTATGCATCAATTGCATAAAATTTAATTTAAAAGAGCATGACACAAGTTCCACAGTTTTTGTAGATAGGTGCCTCCTCTGACAACAAGCTGAAATAAAATCCTCCACAGATTTTTCGTTCCATCTTCAAAATGATGTTATCTCACTGCAGCAGAGCTTCAACAAGGTTGCCAGGAGAGTGAAAGAGTGCAGTGAATCATGGAAAACATTATACCCAGATAATCTGACCCAAAATGCTCTCCCATTAAGTGAATAAAAAAGGGCCAAAAGAGGCATATATTTACCTATTAAATTTGCTGAAATCACCTTTAACAAACAAGACCTAACCCTAACCTGTCAGGGGTTTGGCAGACTGGCAAAAAAAACAAACCTTCACGGGAAAAAAAATAGTTCCGTTTTAAAATCAAACACCCTGCTTGTCACAGACATAATCTGCTCTGCACCTCCGTTGCCTGCAAGACCAAGAAACACAAAATGTTCGGGTAATTACTTCATATTTCTATATTACAGTCATTTTAGATTTACTTGTACTTTTTGAATGTATGTCTGAGAATTGTTTTTAATATTTTTATTACTTTTTAAAAATGTTTATGAAAGGTGTGAATTTAAATTAAACTGAAATTGAACTTCACATTATATTTTATTATAAAGTTAATAACGTATTAAGGTTATGGTGGAGCAATCATTTGAATAATGCTTTATTCACAACTGCTTACTTTGGGGTTTATAGGTGGAACTTTATTAATAGTGTCAGATCAAGTAAAAAGTGAAAAAAAAAGTCTTTGAACGCTAATGCAAATACTGTAAATCCGATCATTCTGAACTTCTATTTTTTTCCCCTGGAGATGCTTAAATAATTGTTTTCTGCTTAAATTGTATAGTGTTCTTCAAAAATATTTAGTGTATTTTAATTCAAACAGCTCTTGCTTTTTAGATAAAGGCGTATATTTCAAGAGTTTACTTATCTACTGCATGTTTGTTCTCATAGAAAAGAGGCAAGGCACGGATAAGAAACCCTGATTTGTAGCTATTGTAACTGGAGTTAACAGAGATTTCTGATTAAGAATGCCTGATTGATGCAGTTTCACTGACAGTAAGGAATTTCTTAAAATAAAGAAACTCCTATCAGCCCTTTATAATGAAGGAATGACATTAAACTTGTTTAGGTTGTTCTGACTAAATGCTAGAACTGTTTTTGTCTTTTTCTTAACACTTCTGAAACCGGTTGTTGGAATGAAATAGCATCATCTGACTTATTAGCATGTAGCTTTTGAGAAGCCCGAGGTCTATTATTAAGTTTAGTTTTTCTCTTAACTAAAATGATTAGACCATTACAAAAACCTTCCCCATGTTCTTTCCACCTTTATGGCATTTATTTCATTAAATTAAACTAAAAGAATAATTACATATATTGGACAACAGCATAAAAAAGCTGATATGATGTAAATGTACACACAATTATAAACTAAAACTACTGCAAGATATACTTTATAAATAGCCTCCATTGCCCTAACCTTAATAAAATGTCTTCTTTTGTTTTCACAGGACTTCCAGAAGGCACTTTCAGAGAGTCTCTATAATAACCTCTTTGATGGTGCTAACTATTGTCTTGGTGATTCTGTCTTATTCTTCTGAAGATGTCTCTGACTCAGACTCCACCATTCTTCAAGTTGATGTCAGAAACTATCAAATTCAATTAAAGTCCTTAGGCAGAACTTTCCCACATGTTGACCGTTTTCCAAAATGTGTAATAAACACATCGGCTGAACAGGTCAAGGACTTCCACTCATTTCCTCCAATTTCTAAAGACATTCTCTATTACCACCACTGTCGGCATTTTCCAATGATACTCGACATCCCTAACAAATGCGGTGGAGCTTATGGATCATCTGATATTTTCCTTTTACTGGTCATTAAAAGTCCTGCTGTCAACTATGACAGGAGAGAGGTGTTGCGCAAGACCTGGGCCGAGGAGAGATTGTCTAATGGAGTGTGGATCCGAAGAATCTTTATCTCAGGAACAATGGGTACCGGATATGAAAAGGAGAGACTGAACAAGCTTCTTCAGCTGGAGCAAAGGAAGTACAATGACATTCTCCAGTGGGATTTCAAAGACACGTTTTCCAACCTCACGTTAAAGCAGATACTGTTTTTGGAGTGGTTCGAGAAAAACTGCCCAAACACCCAGTTTCTATTTAATGGTGATGATGATGTCTTTGCCAACACAGACAACATGGTAGTGTATCTCCAACACTTTAAACGTAATGGTGGAAGGAGGCACCTTTTTGCTGGCAATGTCATGCCCTATATGGATCCCATTCGCCATCCACAGAGTAGATATTTTGTTCCAGAAGAGCTCTATAGGCCAAATATATATCCTGATTACTGTAGTGGTGGTGGCTACCTTCTGTCTGGCTACACAGCTTTAATCATATACAACATGTCACACTCCATCCCCCTTATTCCTATTGACGATGCTTACATGGGGATGTGCTTAGCTGAGGCAGGGCTACGTCCAGAGCATCATATTGGGGTGAGACCATTTGGACTAAATGTTAAAGGAAAAAATGTTGATGAGCTTAACCCTTGCTTCTATAAAGAAATGCTTGTTGTTCACAGCATGCTTTCAGGCAACATGTATACCATGTGGCACAGAATTCAAGATCCTGATCTTAAGTGCGCCCCCTCCAATCCCAAAATGTAAATTGTTTACATCACAGCACTTTCAGTGCTACAGTGAGATAGATGCCTCACCCTACAGCCATGTTTACTTCAAATTGAATTAGACTAGAATCACAAAATTAATAAGTGACTTTATATTGGATTTTATGAAATCCTAAGAGTTTAAGACATCACTTTCAAACATTGTAGATGACATCAGCTAACAATAGGAGATGGAATATTAGCTTTTAGAACACTGATTGACTTCTATATAACCCTTACTCAAAGGTAGTGCATACTAATTTTAAATTAAAACATCCTAAAATAAATTTTCAGTTAACTCTAATTTTGTTATCAGTGAAATACTTAAAATGCATGCTACTGTACCTATACTTTGTGTTTACTAGAAAGTATAATGAAAGTTTATTTTACAGTTTTAATTAAACGTTAAACCAATATAGCTTATTAGCACATTAATAGCACATTTTTACACATGCTACTTTTTTATGGTATATTTATTCCATTCTGGTTTTAAATCATATCTTATGTTCTTTTGCAGATCTGCTTTAGTGTAAATTGTATAAGAGGGTTATGGTGTAGTTTAACTTGATTGGTAATTCACCAAGTTATTAACAAACACAGACATATAAAAAAATGTTAAAAATGTTTTTAGACATCATAAATCTGTTAGTTTTGAAATTTACAACTATTACAATAATATATGTGCTTTTGAAATTGATGTTCAATAAGTAAAATGGCATAGGTGGTCTTCACTAAAACATTTGATTTGTGGTGGTATGACTATAGCTAAATCAAATGTTTTAATCACTTTCTTATGGATTTAATATGGTAATAATGTAATTAATGTAATCAATTAATGATCAAATGTAAATAATGCAATTTGGTGACAGTAATGCACAGCCAAGTTTTGATCAGCCACAAATTACCACCATTTGAAGATTAGAAGAACAGAGTGAATGAATAACCCCCCCCCCCAACATAAGCAAAAATATATGTCTTAAAGGCATAGAGGACAATCTTTTATTTCCAAGTGGATTATCTAAATAAGTGGTCCTACTAATTGTCAATCATTCCGGTGAGTAACGGTTTCACAGTTCTTTGAAACTTGTCAGGGGTTGTAAGAGAAAAAGTGTCTTTGAAGTGAATGAGAAGGGAAGAAAGGCCTCAGAAGAGGCGGATATATCCCGGAATGCTTCACACGGAGAGCTCTCCTCGCAATGCATTGTAGGATTTGCTGTCACAGTGTTTTGCTGTTGCCATAGGCATAATAGGGGATGGGTCAAATGCCTCTGCACTTAACCCGTCCCCTCAGGGAGCAGTGGGCTGCCACCATGCACAAGGAGAAATGGGCTCATGCGTGCTCTCTTGTGCATTTAATAGGGGTTCCCTCTCAGGATTGGGTACAGGATTTTGCATGTGCATACTTTTTTTGAAAAAGGCAGGTCTTTTAAAAAAATTTCTCCACAATACCTTTAAAAACAATGATCAGCAGCCTAATTTTTTTACAAAGATGTTACATGATAGTCAAGTTGCATGAAGTCAAAGAGAGAAAAGATATGTTGTTTGTGTGTTGTTCCCTTCAATCATGTTTAAAATTTCAGAAGAATCAAATGAAACAATGAGAGCTACAAGCAAGCTTCTACAATGAAGATACTTCTGCGGTTTTACACTCCACTGCTGGTACGATTGACTGTTCTTGAAACTGCATTGCCAAAATTAGAATGGGGGTTTGAATTTAAATGGAATTGTTCAGTGTATGCAAATAAAATGCTGAAATAAATGTGTCACGTTTCTCTTTGCCATCATTAAAGGTGGGCTATTAATAGGTTATTTCAGGACAATTTAAAGATGTTTTTTTTTTTTGTGGACTATGTCATGGTTTTATTAAGTGCTCTGACCTACATGCAGAAAACCAACACAGAGAGACCAGGGAAAAGTTTAACAGGTTTTTTGAGAAGGATGAGATGAGTTCAGTATTGCTCTGAACACTGTTCAATCGGAAATGGAAAGTGAGGGGAAGACACTGCAGTTAGTTCAGGCTCAATTTGATTCTTGAACTTGAAGAGTAGAAATAGGTAGCTGACTCACGTTTCCAGAAAATGGTCTCTCTTATTAACTACAGTCGGTGTGTGATGTTCCAGTGTTTGTCTTGTTCGATGGAGGGAGGACAGGGTTTACACAGAATGAGGTTGTACGTTGGTGAACGGAGAAGCTGACTGCCACATAGATTTCCTGCTGTACTTGAACGGCTTGTTGTGGAGATGAATCCCCTGCTCAGAGAGAAGCCCCAAACGATCCTTGGGGAAAAGGGTTGATCAGAACCACAAAGTTGAATCCTTAGCTCAGCTTGATTCTCAGAAGATTCCAGAGGAAAGAAGGTCCGAAACAACCAGTTTACAAGATGGCTTCCTGCCTACAGGTAAAGACAAAAACAGCAAGGTTAAAACTCAGGTAGACAAAAACTCAGTTTCACTCAGCAAAACTCAGCTTGGCTAGAGTACCCAAAACTGACAAACACTCTGGCGTCGAGGTAGTGGCAATCAGCAGCTTAAGAGCACTCCATTAATGAGGTAACCCTCCACAGGTGTGTGAGGAGGCCAACAAGAACCAGGTGCTGCCTGGTGGAGGAAGGAAAATAAAAACAAACACAAACCACACAGACTGGAATCCTAACAGACTATAAGTTTATAATTCACAAACTAAACCTGGAAGGTGACTGTCATTATACTTTAAACTTGTCATGTCTCCTGATGAGTAGATGAATAACAGGTGTGCTGGAAGATTCCAGCTCCAGAAGACCCACGGCGCACTCTGCTGGAGACAGAGGGTAATCTCCAGATCCCAACAGTAACTCCAGCCCTAAGAGAAAATAAGAGACAGAAGAGGATCCTCGGCACCCTCTGGTGGGCAAGCCTGAGGATCCCAACAAAACTCCAGTTTCAAGTCTAATAAAAAAAAAAAAATATATATATATATAAGCTATATATATATAAGCTATATTAACGCTATATACAAGTTTAAGGTATATATAAGTTCACTCCTGGTAAACTAATTGTAGTCTTACAACATCATTTTCAATATACACCAGAGGTAAGTGCTAAAAGTTGAATATTTGTTATTATCTCACACAGTTTTAACAGTTCAGTGTACTTGGTGCATTACAAGATAGTAGTATAGAGATCTAAATTAGAATTAAACCTTTGGAAAAACTAAAATATCAAATATTCACATTTGTATTTGATATTCATTGGAATCATTTCCTTGTGTCTTCCATTATAGAGAAGTAGTAAGATACTCAAACTTGCATAAGTACGAAAGAGGTTGATTAAATATCTAGACATTTGTGTTTAGCATGATTACACAGTTAAATTGTAAAGAGGTTCAATATATGATGTGAATGCTTAATATGACTTGGCCATCGACCAACATGACACATCATTTTGCAAGATCTCCTTGTTGGGATCCGGAGGCTTGCCCACCAGAGGGCGCCGAGGATCCCTTCCTGAGGGCTTGTGCTCACCTGCAACACCTGTCCTCTATCTGCTCATCAGGAGGCTCCCTACTTAAGGAGGCGGAGACCTACACTCCAGTGCCAGAGTGTTTGCCAGTAATGGTTAGCAAAGCCTGATCCAGCCTGCTTATCTGTACCTAAGATTTTTGTGAACCTGCCTGATCCAGTCTTTTTTCTGTCTCACAGATTTATCCTGCCTGACTATCTGAAAACCTGGAGAGAAGTCTACCTCTGGAATCCGCCTGTCTGCTCTCAGTGAAACCCTGGAGGATTGATTCTGTCTGGAATCTGCCTGTCAACTCTCAGAGAAAACAAAGAGAGAGAACTCTGTCAGGAAATCCGTCTGCCTGCACTCAGCCTCAGTCTCTGCTTCAGCCCTCAGCCTGCCGAAAAGCCTCTGGGCTCTCAAGGTTCCCCCTCTGCAGATCTGAAACCCTTCTCTCAGCCAGAAACCTGCCTGCCTGCATTCTGTCTCAGTCTCAGCCTAGCCCTCAGTCCTCAGCCCACTGCCTGCCGACAAGCCTCTGGACTCACAGGGTTCCCCCACCTGCTCATCAGTTCCACCTCCAGCAGTGGAGATCCAGCCGTGACCAGCCTGACCACCCCAGTTCCTCTTCACATTTTATTTACACTTTTGTCAATAAATCTTCTGAACTTTCTCCAAACCTCTGTGTGTTTCTGCATGTGGGTTAGACATCTTAATCCCATCATGACACTCCTCTTAATACATGCACACACGTGTGCTGTACATTCCCAGACTGTCTGTCATCCCTTCATCACACAAGTTTAGAGAAATTTGTTTTTCCTACCAATTGGAAAAAAGCTAAAATTGTTTCTCCACCAAAAAAACAATAAAGAACCTTTTTCGGGGTAAAATAGCAGACCTATAAGTATTCTGTCCATTTTGAGTATGATTATGAGGAAAATAGTTTATGATCAAATTAATTTATAATTCTCTGTAAATGGGTTGAATTCACCCTATTAACATGCCTATAAGAAAGGGCACTCCACAATGACTGCCTTAGTTCAGATGGTGGATAATTGGTTGCATGAAATTGACGACAGAAAATTTGTTGGGACTGTACTGCTAGATCTGAGTGCAGCATTTGATTTAATTCATCATAATTTGTTATTAGAAAAGTTAAGTAAGTTAAGGTGATTGAAAGGTGTGCAATCCAATCGATCTATAGCTATCTTACAAAGAGGTAGTTTAATGTACTTTTATGGTAGTTATTCTGAGACAAACGTTATGCACCGTGGGGTGCCTCAAGGGAGTTCCCTTTGGCCATTGTTATTTCCAATTTTACAAATGACTTGTCTTTTATTTTTGGAGTCTGCCACTATTGCCTTATATACAGACGACTCAACTCTTTATGCGTCTGACTACAACTTTACCAGACTTAATATGATATTAAATAATGAACTAAAATTTATTGAGAATTTGTTCAAAGAAAATAAGTTGGTTATAAACGCTGCAAAGAGCAAATGGTGTTGGGATTTAATCATCTTTT